TGATAGGAAAAGACCATATTTGGGGTGATTTGTGGTGTTATATATATGATATGAGACAAACGGTTCCTTTTCATCCAGTCATCCAGCTCAATTGAGTCCCCGTGTTTGTGCTGGGACGGCGGTCAACCACTCCACAAACTTTGAGCTAAGATGAGCTAAGTCACCTTATGGATAAACTGTCCTATGGACGTGCAGCAGACGTCCTAGGTTTTGCCACCTCGGGGTCTTTCATGTTTCGAAGTCATCCTAGCCTTGCCAAACAAAAGCTGCCACAGATGCAGCGAAAGAAGAATACACCGCGGCTTTTTTCGACCCAGTGCAGCGAGGTGAGCTGAAGATGGCTCGGGGTGTCGGAACTGATGGCTCGGGGTGTTGAACCTCCACATTTGCATACATTTGCGGAGTAAAGATGGTCATGGTCCATGGTGATATTCCTCTAGCTGGGGATGAACATGGGGACGAGCTACAAACTTCTCGCTACTCAGCCTTTAGTCAACATCCATTCCGTCTTCAATTCTGAGCAGAACATGCCACATGATCTCACCAATAAGTGTTTTCGGCGTCGAACCTGTTCTTTTAGAAGATTTCTGAGATGCTGAGGACAACACAGAAACACACAGACAGACATCTGGCTGGTGAGAATTTTACTTCTTCAGAGGCTGAGGACTTCAATCGCAGTGTTCAATTGGGTGCTTCATGCGATGTCAATTGCGGCGTCGGGCTGGCTTGATAGACCCCTAGTAACTCAGGACTTCAATCTTTGAATTGACGCCGTGTTCGAGATTTAGCACTGCTTGCATTCTGATGATTTCTGCTTGTCATGGTGTCTTCGGATCACACAGCTTCTTGCGCAGTGCGCGCGGGGATTGTTCCACTCAGCTACACCGTTGTAGATGTCACTTGCCTTTGGGGCACATGTGTTCAACGAAACCAGCGCGGCAGTGTCTGCCCGAACGGAAGGGGCGACGGTCTGACAGCCCACCCTGCTGTCCGGCTGTTGATGTGAAGAGATTCGGATAAACAGTGCCAGAGGTCTTTTTGCCGGGCGAAGGGCTTGTGAGCAGCGCATGAGGGGTGCATCTCGCCTTTCCTGAGTTTGTGTTTGTCGAGTGCTTTGTCACACGTGATCTGGACCCACAACCAATCTGATAGCCAATTTCAACTGGGGTTGCTGACAACTGTTCTCGTCAATATCAATCAACTGCAGCAAGCACATTGGCTTGAAAACATACGCCTAAACAAGAACGGAACCTGTATGAAACATACCAGAAAAGCACTTGGCCTATGTTTTTCACTAACTCTGGTATTCGCAGCCATTGTGGGTGTTGTCCGTGTTTCATAAGGAATAGAAGGGTTCAGAGGTTGCTGATGTGTGTGTGAATCTTTTGTGATCTTTGATCTGGATTCCGCCCAAAGCATGCCCTGGTACTGATGCGATGAACAACTCCTTCAGATTTACAGACCGAGCAACCAACTGTGCGGTCGACCAAAGCGCTAGTCGGATGAAGCAAAAGGAAGGGGCTTGACTGCGGTGTGGATGAGAATGAAGGAACTGTACGAGAAACATACGAAGTTTACATAAGTTTACCTCTATTGAAGTGGAATATTGCCTCTTGGAATCTGTGAGAACTTGGAGGATCCTGCTAGGCTAGTGTCCAGGATCTCCCTCAATCCTCCTTTGAGCACATTCTTGTGGTCCCAAAAGCAAGTAACTTGCAACCCAAAACTTGTTAGGCACTTGACCAGTCGACTGTTTTTAGCAGGGCTTCTATCCGCGTGAACCACGTGCATGCCACGTAAAAAAAAAAGAACCATGCTGGAAACTCTCAGGGCATTAATTGTAGATACTTTGGGGAACAACATGATGTGGACCATCCCCAATGGGTTCATTGATGTCCTTGCAAATATGCCGGAGAGAGCACTGAGTTACAATGATAATCAATGATACCACACATCAAAAAAACATATCATATATATATATAGAGAGATACGCTGGTTCAAGCTTGGCTGGACATACGCCGGCTGGACATGAGGTTGACAAGGTAGAATGCCAAACATGTTGCAACATGTTGATTTCAATGATCTCAACGACAACAACAAGTCTTGGCAGTTGGCCGTAGGCACACATGTGAGCCAAACTCCCCACAATCCTTTTATGGGGAGATACCATGTCCACGAATTGCACTGCTCGCTTGACTGGGTTTGCTTGTTGGAGGAGTAAACAGAAGCTCCAAACATCATGAATTCCAGAAGTTTTGGGCTAAGTATAGGGGATTTGGACTTTGGACCATGTGTATATTTTTGTATATATTACTTGGATCATGCGTTGTTCTTTTAGTTCACAAGTTTGTTATTAAGCTACTGCGTGGCCCAAATGGCCCTTGATGCATATAAATTGGAACGTCGATCTCCTGACAGTGACAGGTGGTTGTATATTTCCCCAAAGGTGTGATGTTGTTCAAAGATGATTGTGATCCCCAAATAAAACGGTTTCCAATACATTGTACTGGGGATCTACTGTTCTATCTATTTCGGGATCTATACGTATATGTTTCATAAGCAAAGGAATAGAACTCATGCAGAAGTAGGGAGTGACATCTGCTTTTTAATGGCTCCTTTCTCAGAGGAACATTGATTTGCCCAGGGTCAGGGTTTTGATCTGTCCAGCTACACATAATTACTAGTGACACTCGGTAGCTGTGAGATCAAAAAGTGGATGGACACAACAAAGGCTCCCAATAAAATCGAATCTGGGTTTTGCAGACCTGGTACTTGAATCTTGCGTGCAGCACAAGATACAGCTTCATGTCTCAAGATACTTAGCATCATGTCAAAGATCAGAGCAACAACATTTGAGTTGTCAAGATCCAAGGAACTGTAACACAACTAGTCTAAAACAATGCATGTCTTGCCAAGGTGCCGCTCGTCCTGTTCATCGTCACCCTAGATTAACACATAGAAGTGCACATGTGGGGATGGGAATATGGTTTCATTTGCAACAGGGACCCCTGAATTTCTATCTAGTACTGGTATCTAGAACAACTGCACCTAGATGGAACTAGATAAAACATTTGGAGCATCTGTGCATCTTCCAAGTTCCTGTACACCGTACACCGGCACACATTCCTGGTTATGGCTGGCCATGGCTACCTCGCAGTGGGCTTACTGGCCCTTTTGCCGAGTATTTGCTTAGCAGCTTATGTGCCTTGGTTTAACTGGGTAACCTCGATTTTCTCTCTAGGGGCTTGCCCCAGCTCTGTGAATCATTTGGGGAAGAAACTGCTAGCTCATTCGGATCCTCGTTTTGAGAGACCTGTCAACCCAGATAGAGCATGGCATCGCTCCAGAACACACTGGAGTAGAGCAGCTTCTTCTCATTCTTCAGGACAATTTCCACAAGTGACCTCGAAAGGTCAATACATCGTGTTTGTCCAATTACCTGTAACTGTCAGTAAACAAGAACATCACTATTTTAGAGAAAGGCCTGCCGCCTAACCGACCTAACCATCATCCACTGTTACTGGTGGTGTTTTGGTAATGGGATAGACCCAATTCATACATCTCAAGACCTTCTTTCAAGGCCCACACAAGGATCGACACCGGCCCCCAACGCCCCAAACCATTCAGCGTCCGAGTCCGCGCCGCGAGGTTGACTAAGGTGATCGTCACAGATCAAAGGTTTTCCCGGAGATCCACCTGGTCTTTCTCGTGTGTGACACCAAAAGGTGCCTTTTTTTGTTCGAAACCAGAAAAAGACCCGAATGAATGCATTCTGGGAACATCAGGAAATCATTATGTCAAAACAATGTCGACTTGGCCCACCACATTTTTTTTTCAGAAGACAATCAACCTGTTTCTCCTGGCAACTGGCATGGTATGTCAATGGTCAAGGCATGTCAATTCACTTTGGGACTTTTGGGTCGAACAGAGTGGTACCAGGAGAGGTTGAACTCACAGCCCGGGCTGTTCGCCCATCCCATGGGCCATACCGGATCCTAAGTCCTATAGTTCAGGTCTCACGTCCTACCTCTCTTGGTATGGAGAAGGACCGACGTGGGGACCGAGTTTTCTCCGGATCAACCAGCATGCAAGGAGCAAGCACGCGAACCGAACGGAGTGATCGGACGCTACGAACGGGGCTCCTGGCCACACTACTAGGAACAAGGTTCGCTACTAGGAACAAGTGCATCGCTAACTTAGTAGCTTCTAGCTACTACTAGCGATTGCCTTGTTACCCCTCGAGTCGAAATCGCCTCTGGACCCCTTCAGGTGGGCCTGAGCCGCGTGTTCCGCCAGGCGAGGGTCGTGGGGCTTTGGCGCGGTGAGATGGAGTGAAGATCTATACTCGGGTGGGTGAGCTGGAAAGGGACCAGAATGAGACAAACATGGCGTGGGAAATGGATGGTGCTAGTACCCCACAAACTGTCGCCCAGTTGGAATCCGCGTTTTGGCTCAGGGGATGCCACGGAAGGAGGCTGCACTTTGTTGGACTGCGATGGTCGCTGAGCTTTGTTGGACTGAGCGGACGGGCAGGGGAGCGGTCGGACCCGTGCGTTCGGTACGGTTCGGTCCTGAAGGAATGACAGGACGAAGGGCACTCCATTCACCCAGTCATTCACCCATATATCACCCAGATTTACAGATCCACACCTGGATGTGATCTTCTGTTGCATGCAGTGTGTTTTTTTGGGGAGAATACAAAGGTTCTTTTTGCAGGTCTTCAGATACTCTTTCTCATGTGGCACTTCCAAACTCGTCTAACGGTCTCATGGCTGAAGCGGCGGAAGAGCGGCCGCTCTCGGCAGAGCGGTCCAGGGCGGTGTGGTGTGGAATGGATCACTCGTTGGAGATTTGGGGGTTGAGCGTGCCCACCCACGGATTCACCGGAGGAAACATCATGCGTCGGCGTGTTTTTCCCGAATGCGTAGCGAAGGGTTCTCGTTTAACTCAGGGGGTCTGGGGGTAGAGCCTTGTTCGCGACCCGTTGTTTCTACGTCCGCAACCGTTCGCAACCGTCCGCAACCGTTCACAACCGTCCGCAACCGTTCGCAGTAGAGCGCTAAGGCGCTGCCATTGGGGGAAGCTTTTGGAGAGGGTTTCGGATGGAAACGTGACGTGTCAGATTCGTGTGAAATAGCGAGGAATCGTGTGGGATGATTTCACTGCGCAGGCGCAACGTTTTGTGAGATCCGCAGTTTGCTACGCAGTTCCATTGGGACTAGCGTTTGGATAGTCGTGTGTTTGGGGTGTTGGATGTGGTCGTGCCATTGGGATTTGCGTTTCAGGGTGTTGCGTCGAAGCTCTGTTTTCGTGACAAGTCTCAGCTGAAATGACGATTTTGGTGGATGGGAGTGTGCTCAGAACGGGTCGAGATCATTCCAACCGTGTGGTGTGGTGCAAATTTTGTTGAAGCTCGCATGAGATGATATTGTCACTTTTCGTGGCAGGCACAGTACTTTGTGCGGGTTTTGAGGTATGGAAGTGCGATTTTCGTGGCAGGCGCAGGAAATCGTGAGGTTGCGAGGTGTGACGGAGGTGACATTCGTGGCAGGCGCAGTACTTTGTGCGCGTTAGACGTGTGGACGCGGGAAGATTCGTGGCAGGCGCAGGGAATCGTGAGGTTGTGAGTTGTGGTAGAGGTGAATGTCGCTGTCACATTGGGATTGGCGTGTGAGCGGGTGTTGTTTGGAGGGGCTGGAATCGCGAAACTGCTTGGCAGGGCTGCGTGATGTGTGTGCTCCGATGGGTGTTTCCGCTTGACTTTTGGAGGATGTCTCGTACGAAAACGCTCGTTTTGCAGACTTTGACATGTGAGTTTTCGAGGAAGTCTCGTACGAAACGCTCGTTTTGGAGACTTGACGTGTGAGTTTTTGAGGAAGTCTCGTAAGAAACGCTCGTTTTGGAGACTTGACGTGTGACTTTTAGAGGAAGTCTCGTACGAAACGCGCGCTATGAAGCCTTGACGTGTGACTTTTGGAGGAAGTCTCGTACGAAACGCTCGTTTTGACGCGTATTTGGAGGAAGTCTCGAACGAAACGCCCGTCTTGCAGCCTCGAAGCGTGACTTTTGGAGGAAGTCTCGTGCGAAACGCTCGCGTGACTGCTTCTAGTGTGTGGGCAGAGCGTGTGGCGACGCGACGTTCGTGATGTCGCAGTGCCATTGGGATTTGCGC